GACCCCTCCACGTCATCAAGCCTCAAGAAGAGAAGTCACCACTCACCGTACACCAAATTTGGATTGGCTCTCTTGAGCTCCTGAACGATATCCACCACCATCTCCAGGAAGGACGTGTCCCTGGTGCAGCCTGAACACAAGGCATTCCCGCCATTTGGACAAACGTCGAACAAACAAAGAAATATATATGTACACACACACACACACACACACACACACACACACACACACACACACAACCCACCCAACCCTCACACACACACACACACCCACTCAACCCACACACACACACACACACACACACACACACACACACACACACACGCGAGTCAAGAGACAGCTATTTAAAGTCACACATTTATTTTGTAACTGTGGGTCTGTCTGTCTGTGTGTGTGTATCTATTTGTCTGTGGATGCATATATATTTGGCAGACATTACATTTGCCACCACAAAGTGTCCTGTTGCACATTAGCCATCTGCCAATCAGTCAACGAATGTGGAGCCAGTGTGCGTTGAAGGAGCGCGCGTGTGCACGTCTGTCTGCTGCAGGCTGATGTCGCAGCTCCAGGTGAGTCACAGGCGGGTCCCGGGTTTTGGGGGGGGGGGGGGGGGGGGGGGGGGGGGGTTCTAGTTGCCAGGCAACACGGGAGGAGAAAGCCAGAGGCACTGAGAAGGGACGTGAGTGTGTGCGTATGAGATGACATCATCACTTGCTGCTGTGGCAATTGACACCGTCATTTTCTGGGGCCTCTCAGTTCCGAGCTGGAGGCCATTTTTCACGTTAGATCATATCATGAAGACTCTTAAGTGCGACCCTCAGCATACGAGCGATTAAAAACTGATTTTTCATGATTCGTCACGATATTGTGCGGGTATTCTATTTGTCCACATGTTGTGAAGCCTTTCTCACGTTCTCCTGGGAGTGAGTGGGAGTGAGTGTGCACGATTTCAAAAGGCAGGGCCCGGCCCGGTGAGTGACGTGGGTGACGAGTCGGCCGGTTGTTAACTGGCAAACGTCTTAGGTGGCCCTGCCTCAATTGTGAACGTGCCCATTATGCATTAGCTTTCTTTTTTTTTTTTTTCTTGCATCGACCGGCGGCTGGCTAACCGTCTGGTGCTGCAGCACGCGGGGAAAAAGGAAGACGGTGAAAGCGTTGGTCTTACCTGTGTGGTTGGAGAACTGCACCGAGTTGATGGAGTCCACCTCAAAGCCCAAAACCTGCAAGGAGACAAACACAAACATATGCAAGGTCACAACAGGAGATAAATACTCAGATTTGGATCGGTGAAACTACCGTAGTGAGTCAGGGTACGAATAACCCGGGCCAAAGACTTTGTGCCAAAAGAGCATCTTGACCTCACTGAGCAGCACAAGGGCTTGATGACAAGTGCGGGAATATTAGCGATTCCTCTCAAGTATTGCGACATGCGTCATTCCCACCTGCAGTGTGTAGTGAGAAAAGGGAATGGCACTGCACGCTGACAATCGAAGTGATTAAAAAAAAAACAAAAACAAAAAAAAACACAGAAACGCACATTCAGCAAAAATCCGAGTCAAGTTTCTCCTACGGGAGACCAAATAAAAAGTCAAATCAAATCCAAAATCAAAATCCAAGATGGGACGCTAAATTGTCCTCCATGCTTTGGCTCGATTGCTCTGGCCATGACTCGATGGCAGAAAGTCAAAGGTTTGTTCTCGGTGACCTGGTTCTCCTTTTGCGTCGCTCGCAGCTTTGTTTGCCGTTTCAACCGAGCGCAGGTCAGACAACTCTCTCCTCAGTCCACGGAGGGCCACAAGCGGGTCGACCCTTTCAATGGCTTTCATTGGCGTTACCTTGAAGGTTTTGCTTTCCTGGCATCTTTTCCTTCCTCCTTTCCCTCAGAGTTGTTTTTCTATTCCAGGAATGGGCGAATTCCACCACCAGGGATCAGCATAAGGTCGATACGGGTATCGGGTACTCACGGAAGCCACCGATACTTGAGGCAATAAATAAATACATTTGACCTTGAGTAATTGCCCCAGCAGTGGTGGACGCTACACTGCGGCAGTTTGACACCTCGGTGAATCATTAGCGTCATCATCCACCTCAGACCTGCTTTGTGCCGATTTCCTTCCTTCCAACCTCCGTTCTGCTCTGCCTTCCTTCATTCCATTTGTCTTCAATGCATCCACCTTGAACCAGCTCTTGTTTTCCTTCCAGGCTGACTTCCTTCTCTATGACCTTGCTTCGTGTCTTCCTTTTCATTACGCCTCCTTCCTTCCTTCAGACCCTCTTGCATCCTTCCTTCCTTTGCCTAGACCTGATTGTCTGTCCTTCCTTCTTTCCCTCCTACCTTGCTGCTCTATTTTTTTATTTTGCATTCACCAAAACTTTTTCATTCTTTTCTTCCTTCGTCCCTTTCTTCCTTCACACCTGTTTTGAATTCATGCAAACACGCCAGCTACTCCAACCAACTTTTCGGCCCGCTTCCAACGCAGAGCGGCTTTTTAAATCTTTCCCCGAGTTCTCTCTTGCCTTCCTCCCTTCCTGCCGAGCTGCTTGTTTTGACAGGGCTGGCGCGCGCATCCTTCCTTCTTTTGCCTTCTTCCTCTGGCACCGTGCTGTGAAACGCTGCTTCGCAAACCATTTTCTGTGTTCCATCCTCAAATTATTCGCCGTTATTCCCGGCACCTACGAATTGAAGTGGAAAAGAAGAGAGCTACTTTTCTATTTTCGAGCCACGTCACAATTGAGTCGACGGGGAGACGCCTTCCAATGTTGCTCCTCAGACAACTTGTTGCGCGTTGTGCCAATCGTCCAAGCAAAGCTCCCACGCGTGTGTTTGCTAAACTTTGCTTGGCCAACTTCAAAGTCCACAGGTCAAATGTGCCCGGTGGACGGAAGCAAACATTTTCTGTGACGAGCAAGGACATCAATGGTTCGACTGTTGATTGTCACTCACGCCATCAAGAATTATACATACGTATTTTTTTTATCGCATTAAAATGAGAAAATTACGAGAGCTGCGATGCCAACTGTACGCCGCGATAAAGCTGCTATGTGCTGCTTTCTTCCTCACTCAATGGCTTCGGGTGACTGATATTGATGATGATTATTTGGCGTATTAATTGTCATTGTCGGTGCCAAAGATCTAAGCACAGCAAAAAGTTTGCCTCCTTTCTTAGCCGCTGTTATTTCTGAAAACGAACGGGCACAACCACTGACGACACGAGCGCTCCGTGACGTCACGGAGAAGAATAGCACGGCAGCCAATCGCTGGCCTCGAACCTCGCACGCCGCTTCCACCCTGACAGGAAGTGACAGGCGACGCCCCGCGTGCGCTTTGTAATTCTCCGTGCCGACGAGGACTCCCCAGGTGCCCGCAAATTGTACATTTGAATTCATGCGTCTGTTTATTTGGGGCAAAACACAGCAGCGGTCCGCACATGACATGCCAACAAACGGATAAGCCTGCCGAGGTATTCGCCTTTAGCCCAGACGCAACTGCCTGTCAAAACCCCAATGCCACTGGCATTTTCGGCAAGTGCTTGTCTTGTGTCGGACACGGCCTCCCAACAATTGAAAGTGGGGAAAAGTCCGCTTTTACAGGCCACGTAAAAGGCTCTTCTATATATAGAGAGCAGCTAATGGCTGCTGTTCTTTATCCCCATATAACGATTATTATTTGCGCATTAGCGGGCGCATAGAGAATCAGTCAGACGTAACAAGTTCGAGGCGCTCTCGTGGGCCCGGGACGAGCACCCGCAACTTCCCCAGCGTCCCGAGGAGCCGACGGGGCCAAAAATAGATTAAGCGCTTCGTGCCACAGCGTGAGAGATGATGTGGAGGTTCATCCAGCTTCATCGGCATCGTCATCATCATCCAACCAAAGCGACCAGCTCTCATTACATTCACGCTGTCAACAACAGAAATCGCACGCTCACTTTCACAGCCTGCTGAGCTAATCTCCTCTGGGTATTTCACATCTACGGTATCGTACGGAGCAAAAATCTTTTGATTGTACAACGAATCTTTTCCACAGCATTCTTCTTGACAACCAGTAGAGAAGGATAGTGTTTCAACCATCAGTGTAGTTTGGCACATTTGCTCCCTCTTACGTGCTCCAGTTAAGTGAGCAGTAGCAAGTGCGCTGTGGGAAATCAATTTGGACCGATGTCACTGAATTGCTCCAAAATGGGTTTGATCTCTAGTGGTGCAACGATTAATCAATTAGTCAACAACTAATTGATTGTCAAAAGAATCAACAACTATTTTGAGAATGTTGAAAATCGGATGATGGGTTCCTGACAAAATGAGGGGGTCACGTTGTTAGTTATGGTGGCTTCCTCATTCAAACGTTCAACAGATGATTTCTACACGACTATCCAAGGGGTGGGAAAAACGTTTTCGCTCAAGCGCCACATTTGAAACATTTTTGACTGTAAATGGTTGTGCTTCCATATATGCCCTGCGATTGGCTGGCGACCAGTCCCGGGTGTATCCAGCCTCTTGCCCAAAGTCAGCTGTGATAGACTCAAAGTCACCCGAATTCCCTCGTGAGGACTAGCACTATAAAAATGGTGGCCGTACATAAAATGGTACCAATTCTCCTCAATTTATGTATCAACTGTCTCCCGTAATGGAACGAGTGACCTTAACAGGTTCCACTCGCTACCTGGGACCGATCTAAACACATACAAGCACCTTCCGTCCCAAAAGCAGTGTCCTATTTGTCACGATGGACATTGATGTCCTACGTTTCAACGTCGGACCCCCAAGGTTTGACTCAATGACAACATGAAGAAAAGGTGATGAGGAGTCGTGAGTGACAGCTTGGAGGGAAATGAAACGTCATTTTGGAGGTTGTCGCTTCCAGGAGGACAAACTCAAAACGGACAGCGATGAAAAATAAAACCAAGCGACGGGGTACGTCACGACTCGTTTGTGGCCAAAGACAAACTTTGATTTTCGCTCGTTTAGTCACGACGCGCAATGCGATGGCACATTTTGTAAGGGAGGGTGGCGAATAAATGAATAAAAGGAGCATCACACATGAAATGTCAGTCAAGGTCCCCCACTCGTCGCTTCATGGATGCGAGGAAGCGGAGGCTGCTTGGCTCACTTGGTTTCTACCTGCAGCGGGAAAGAGGCGCTCTTGTTGCCCACATATCCTCGGACGACGTGGCTCTGGATGGACAGGACGCGGCACTCCATGGCGGCTCCCGATGGTCGGCCGAGGGGGACAGTCGCGGGCGGACTCTCGCTCGTTCGCTCGCCTCACCGCATAACACCGAAGTCACAGCCCGAGCCCGGCGCGCGCCCACCGGAAATTTAGCTTAATGTTAGCCTAACGGCTAACCGAAGGTGTGTCACGCGCACGTATGACGGCGCGAGCGTGCGCGTGGGCGTATACGAACGAACCCCAGTTCTCGCGGAGACGTAGGACTGATTCAACCGTTGATAAGAGTCCGTGCGGGAAATCTCCCGTTCACGCGAAGCCACTTAAAAGCTCTCAAAAAATGACGTAGTGCGATTGCCAATGCTGTTGGTGTCGCTGTTTGCATCCCTGCCACCTGATTTACTGGCATATAAAACGTAGAACAAGACGCTGTGTTAAATCGCCAAACTAAAACACGAACATGTCAAAGCAAATATTTACGTGCACAGGAATGTATGTGTGGGCATGAAGACAAAAACGGCAACTATTAGATGGCAATACCGTGCATGTTGATCTCATGAAATCACTACAGTACTGTAGTCAAAGGGGTGTGCTGATCGTCCTAAAGAGCGGCTAAAAGATAGCATCTATTACCAATTATTGGGTGCTTCGGTGTGACAAAATGGGGAGACGCGGAGGTCGTGTGTTCACGTTCACTCCAGTTCTATTAAAACGGAAGCTACAGTAATGTTTGAACGAGCGAAATGAATGGCCATCCCGAAATCAATTGACGTCATCAGCGGAGGGACATTCTGGCCATTCTAAAACTCTGACATCTGGACTTGAAGGCAAAGAAAAGATGAGCGTTTTCGACCTCGGGTGACATTTTTACGTTGGACCAAAGTAGGCCAGGATAAAAAGAAGAACGGTGGACGATTCGTAATTGTGACCACGACAGAGTCGTGACTGACGGATTTGGCAACTCGCCTATAAAACAACAGCAAGCAGCGGTGGTGGATGTGAAAAAAATATAAAGACTGCATATGAATGACAAATATAGCACAGCAATGCCGCAGAGTCGTGATGAGAAGACTAACGAGTCCAATACATATCTCCAACTCCACCTGCTGTTAAACGAGGGGACTAAAGGCTTGCTCGTATTTCATAAAGTTCTTAATAGTCTTGTGCGACAAGCATGGGTCAAAGAAAGTAATTCGGTTATCATTATGGGTGAAATGTTTATTAAAAAAACAAGTTAATTACTCTCATTGGTGAAAAATGAAACCAAGTTAATAACCATCATCACCAAAACTTTTATGAACAAAGAGTAAATTAATTAACCTCATGGTAAAATGAACTGCCACTTATCTCGCGCTTTTCTATGTCGTGTACTCAAAGTGCTTTACACAGTTAGCTCATTCACCGCCTGATGGCACAGCATCAGGAGCAACTGAGGGTTCAGTATCTTACTCAAGGACATGGTCGCAATGGCCTCTGGGAAACGATCACTCTCCACTGAGCCATGCCGCCCCATGGGTAGAAAATGAACCCCCCCCCCCCCCCACCAAAAAAAAATAACCCGTAACAAAAATGAATTCTCCTAATGCAAACGGTGTGAGCGTGCAGGTTGAATAACAACACAAATAGACGACATGTTGGTCCAACTCAAGTTTCTTTTGAATTTTATTAACACTGAAAAGACAAGGTACGTACATCTTCAACTAGACAGAGCGATGTCCGTCTTCTATCGTCCATTAGCGGTCATGTAATAACTCTTCAGTTTGTTTTCTCAGCAGTATTTCTACAGCAGCCTGGAAGGCGGACAGTATGAGCGGCTCATTAGCTTACTTTTAGTACAGTGTGAGGGGCTACGAGGGGGTCGAGAGGAAAATACAGGGTTAAGACATTTTCTCATTGTGAGGACACACAAAACTGGCTCGTCCACGTCTGATTGGACAGTGGCTGGTCACTAAGGTAACCGTTGGTTGTTTACAGTGTGAGGGAAATGTGATAACAGTACACAACATTCATGCAGTCCATTTCTGTGTGTGCGAGTGTGTGTGTTTCATGCACGTCCCTCTCCAGTACACTCCGCACGACAAGAGCAGTAGGAACACAAATACACGCCAGCTCTCTGGAGCAACCCAAGGACACCAGAGGTTGGATGTGTGGCTAATTGAAGCAACAGCAGCCCTTACAAAAACAAAATTATTCACAAAGAAAAAAATAGGGAAAAAAATTGAAGGTACAGTGTGTAATATTTTGTGGTGAACTAATAGAATGCAACCACCTAAGCGTGTTGCTAAGTTTGTCTCCTTCGGGCTCCATAGCAGAAAGATGGCGGCAAAACATGGCAGCCTCCTATAGGGGAGGCGCGCCCTTTAAGTATCATTACAGATGACTTCACCTACAATTACATACAAAAAATAATGTTGATGTGATAGAACATCTTTTTTTGGGATATTATTGACATTAATGTGGGTTTTTGAAATAATGAACATAGATTTATTTATTTTTACACACTGTCCCTTCAGTGTCATCAGTAAAAAAATTGGAAAAATATTAATCATCCTCATAGAAAAACAACACAAGTTAATATCCTTATGGATGACAAAAAAGTAAATTTTCATCGGTACAAAATAAGGGAAAAAAAACAGCAAGTTAACCATCTTCATGGGTACAAAAATGATAAATACTCAACACTGGACTTCTAACGCTGCTAACTAATTAGTGCTGTTAGCATCTTCTGTTAAGCTTGGAGACTGAAAACACACACACACACACACACACACACACACACACACACACACACACAAGATTGTCACTGGATTGGGCATCAGAGGGAAGAAACGGTTCAATCGAATGTCAGTTTGGATTAGCTGTTAGCAACGAGCTAACACTTTCGGAGATCAGCTTTTCTTCTGAAAACAGCGGCAAAAAAAAGTCTTTACGTCACATTGTGGAGTTCACTTGAGTTCTGACCGGCAAGTTTTGACGCGAAGTTTTGCAAGCGAGCTGCCTCGTGGTCCAACTTACCAGCTGACGAGTCAACTTCTTCTACTGCTCGGTCAATAAATAGGATTAAGAATAAAGTCTCTGTGTCTCTCTTGCGTCTCCGAGCCAGACCTAGGTCCAGTTGTGTCCAGTCCTTCCTGCTAATAACCATCCAGATGCGCGCTTTCAGGGCTCCTCGAAGAGCTGGAGATCCAGCCTAACCACGATCTCGCCAGTGGGAACTTCATGGAGCAGCAAACGCTTGGTGATTGGTCCCTTGGAGCCCTGGTCCTTCTTGATCTCGGCCAATCGGATCTCTGTCCTGCCCAAGAAGTCTGAATGGGGGGAATAAGAAGGGAGGGAGACACAGCGTTTGCTGTTTTGTAGTGCGGGCCTCCGATCGGAAATACGAATCGGTGGAGTACCGACCGTCTGGCGAGAACTGGTCCCGTTCAAAGACGGTCACGCACAGGACATCCTGCTCCAGGTCCTTGATGAAAAACTGGCAGTTGGAGTTCCACTTGGGATTCAGCGTGTCCTGCCACCAAACAAAACTCACTCGGCAAAGAAGCAACGCCAAGAAGCCTTCCGCTGAAGCTCAAAGGGAAAACCTCATCGACTGTCAGCTAAACATCCAAAATGAGCTCAAGTTTCATTCAAATCCAGGACTTTTTTTTTTTTTTAGAAAATTAGTTCTGGACAATGATAAAATGAAGACAAAATTAAGAATGGGTAAAAAAAAAAGGAAAATGTGCCAGAATCTCTTATCGTCGTGGTTTATGTAAAAAAAAAATTAAAAAGTAACAAATAAATTAATTTTTCCTCAAGGGTAAGAAATTATGAATCCAAAGCAGCAGTTGCCTCGGTGGTTACCTGCAGAGTTTTGGTGATGTGGCACTGCGAGCCCATGGTGACCTCACAGTAAGGGTTGCTTTTTCCTGCCGCACAAACAAGCCGAGTCAAGAGCACATCCTGCCGGCCGTACGCACGCTCCTGCCGATGCAAAAATCCCGGGCGGCGCCATTTTTGTTGTTACCGTGCGAGCGACAGGGCTTGAGTTCGATTCCCTCCACGATGTTGACCATCAGCCTGCCGATTCCCGTCGCCCTCTGGGAACGCACTGAGCACAGATCGGCAGGGCACAACGTCAGCAGCCAGCACAAGCCAGTCCCAGCATTACAATCCAATCCAATCAATACCCAGATAGGCTTTTTCTCTCTTCTTCTTCTCGGTTTCGATGAAGAGTTCGGAAGCCGCCTTGATTTTCTGGACCCACGCTGTCCTGCGTGTGCGCACACGCACACACACACACACACACACACACACACACACGCACACACACACGCACACACACACGTAGCAGGTGAGCACACTCACATTTAACTTGCCTAGCCCAAAAATGCTGCGTTTGTTTACCGCTCGTTGATGCTCTCGGCCCTGAGGGTGTAAACTCTGTCGATGTGAGAGATGTGAAAGAGCGGCTCATCTCCCGACGGGTCCGTCGGCAGTTTCACCAGAACCTCGTTCAGGAAGATGGGCTGCGCCGTGCACACACGCACGCACGCAGGAACGGTCACCTCATTATGACCGATCCAGTCTTTATTACTCGTGTGTGTGTCTGTGTGTGTTGCGCATGTTCTTACCGTCTTGTACATGCGGTACTGCAGGTGTGTTTTGGCCGAGAAGACTTTGTCGGACCCGGACGAGCCGTGTGCGCACACGCACACACACACACACACACACACACACACGCACACACACACGCACACACACACGTAGCAGGTGAGCACACTCACATTTAACTTGCCTAGCCCAAAAATGCTGCGTTTGTTTACCGCTCGTTGATGCTCTCGGCCCTGAGGGTGTAAACTCTGTCGATGTGAGAGATGTGAAAGAGCGGCTCATCTCCCGACGGGTCCGTCGGCAGTTTCACCAGAACCTCGTTCAGGAAGATGGGCTGCGCCGTGCACACACGCACGCACGCAGGAACGGTCACCTCATTATGACCGATCCAGTCTTTATTACTCGTGTGTGTGTCTGTGTGTGTTGCGCATGTTCTTACCGTCTTGTACATGCGGTACTGCAGGTGTGTTTTGGCCGAGAAGACTTTGTCGGACCCGGACGAGCCCAGGGGTTTGGTGACCTGCGGGGATGGACAAGACAGCACAGGAAGCGGCTTGAGACAGAGCGAGAGAATTGAGGACTTTGGGGCGACGGAGGGGGCGTCACCTGCGTCAGCAGCAGGAAGTCGTTGAAGAGGAAGCCGTAGAGCTCCTTGCTGCTTTTGGCTTTGAAGAGTTTGCCGCTGTGGAGGAACTTGCGGGGACCCAAACAGTTGGTCACCGAGTTGAACACCAGTTGCTGCAAAAACGGTTGGTGACCCGTCAAAGGCTTTTCCTTTTCCCTCCGTTCAGCCTTTCCTGGTCAATATGCGGCATAGTGCCGGTTGGCCGCAATCCCCGCGTTATTTCCGACGTGTGCTCTCGGTCGCGTTCAAGCGCGTCAACTCCTTTGGCTGTCTTTATTTTTTGAAGACCGACGTGGATGAAGACATGGACAAAAATGTCGAGTACCTCGGACAGGCCTTCGCACTGAACGTGAGCTTGGATCCACTCCAGACGATCTGAGTTCTCCTTCTCCCTCACGCCTTCGTTCACCTACGCGCCAAAAAAACGCAAGGAAGCTCAGATTTGTTTTTTGTTTTTTTTTCCCCAAAGAGAACCCCCCTCACTCCAAAATTATCATATTATTCTAAAATAATAGGCATCCCCCGCCTACTGCCCGATGACAGCCGGGAGAGGCTTTGGCACGCCCACGACCCTCGTGAGTAAAAGCCGATCAGAAAAGGGATGGCTGGTAACTTTGTGAGAATCCAATATTTTTCACCCCCCCCCCCAAAAGAGTCCACATTTTTTCAAGAGCTTTTGAGGCAGTAGAAACCAGCGGTGCACAGAATCCCCAAGTGACTCGAGCAGCTCTCACCTGTGAGCACAACTCCTCCGCCTTTTCCAGAGCAGCTTTCAGGTGATTGTGGTCCGGATGCGATTCGGGAGTGTTTTCCAGGATCTGTTTGCCAAGAGCAGAAGA